AATACAGATAATTGACTAAATTTTAAGCAATGAAACAAAGTAAAATTCATCAACTTCTTCCACTGTTCTCATTCATTCCTCTCTTTTTACTTTAACTTAGGACAAAGTGATATAACTAGGACATAAGAAGTAAAATGTAACTATGAAACAAAATGTAAAGGTGGCATTGGGTTGACCCAGGCATGGGGACATTTGAATTTGGAATGGCCGGTCATCTAACAAAATCGATAAGCCATCAGGTCAACCTTATGTGAAGTGTAGATTGGAGATTCCTCTGAATTACTCTCTTTTCATTTGTGGAATCGTATCTTAAAACTTTTCCATTGATTGCCCTGCCCTTATCAAGTGCTTCAGATCTCTGCACAAATATAGTGATACTCAGCAGGTGGAACATGAGTCAGAAGGAAGTCTATTTACCAAGAAAGTGCAGTGACTAAGTTCGAAGAGTTCAAAACACTTGTTTTTCTAACTGGAGGCTTTGGGGGATGGTTAACTCTGCTATCATCACTGCTTCAGTTGAAAAAGAAAACAGCACTGGTTTGCCTTAAACAGGAAGGAACATGTCACTACCCCAGGTGACGTGGAAACCTAGTAGAGCAACAGCAAACCAAACCCCTTGTGGTCCAGTTGACTCTGACTCATGGGGAACCTACAGGACAGAGGTGACCAGTCCCATCGGGTTCCCAAGGATATAAATCTTTACAGAAGCAGATTGCCTCGTATTTCTTCTGTGAAACAGCTGATGGGTTTGAACAGTCTTTTAGTTGTTCTTTTGGGCCATCAAGTCACCTGTGACTCATGGCAACCCTATGTACAACCTCTGAAGCCTGCCCTGTCCTGAGCCATTCTCACTGACTCCAACACACCTGCCCCCATTGCCTGAGTTACTCTATCAATCCATTTCATCTAGTGTCTTCCTCTCCTGTGCTGTTTCTCTACCCTTCCATGTGTGATGTCTTTCCCCAAGGACTGGTCCCTCCTGGTCATGTGCCCAAAGTATGGGAAATTCAAAGTCCTAGCTTCTAAAGAGAAACTTGATTTCACCCTCTCCAAGACAGACCTGCTTGGTCTCTTGACAGTTCATGGTATGTTCAATACTCTTCTCTAGCACCATAACTCAAAGAAATCTATTCTTCTTCTGTTATCTTTATACACTGTACAGTTATCTACTGCATAGCAAGTAATTGTGAATACCATGGCCTGAATCAGGTGTACATTATTCTCTAGAATTACATCATTGCTCCTTGGTACTCTAGAGAGGTCCCTGAGAGTAGATTTTCCCAGTTTGTCTTTTAATTTCCTGACTCTTGGTACCAAGAGTGTTGATTTTGGAACTAAGCAAACTAAATCTATGAACAATCTCAGTCTCTTTACCATCTATTATGATGCTACTAATTGGCCCAGTGGTGAGAAACTATGTCTTCTTGATGTTGAGCTTCAAAACATATTGAAGACTGTGGTCCTTGACTTTCTGCAGCAAGCACTTCAGGTCCTCCTCAGTTTCAGAAAGCAAGGTTATGACATCTACATTTCACAGGTTATTGATGAGTCTTCCTCCAATCCTGATGCCATATTTCTCCTCATAAAGCCCAGACTCCTGAACTGTTTTGCATACTGATTGAAAAGATCTGTGAGAGGACTCATCTCTAACACATTTCTTTCCTGATTTTTGAACCAAGCAGTACTTCCTTGCTCTATTCTCAAGGCTGCTTCCTGGTCTGTGTATAGGTTTCACATGAGCACAATCAAGTGTTCTGAGATTCCCGGTCTCCTCAAAGTTATAGGACTATAAGCACTGCCTCCAGAGGAAAAACAAAACATGAAACTCAAACTCATTGCCATCAAGTCGGAAACCACTCATAGCTGACCCTTCAGTGGGATTTTAGAGGCTGTAAATGACATAGGCGGAAGCTACCCATCTTTCTCCCACAGAGCTGCTGGTGAATTAAAATTTTCCATCTTTGGGTTGGGAGTCCAAAAAGCCCCTAAGCATTAAGCCATCAGAGCCCAAATGGGGGCGGGAAAAGAGTAGAGAAAGAAAACAAACTAAGTTGTTGTTATGTGCCGTCGAGTTGCTTGCGACTCGTAGCAACCCTATGTACAACAGCCCAAAACCCTGTTATCTTCCGTGCCAATCTCACTGTCTCCAACACACCTACCCCCATTTCCCTAGTCACTGAATCAGTCCACCTCATAGAGGGTCTTCCTCTCCTGCGCTGTTCCTCTTCTCTCCCAAGCATGACGTCTTTCTCCAAGGACTGGTTCCTCCTTGCAACATGTCCAAAGTATGTCAGAAGAAGCCTCTGAATTCTTGCCTGGCTTAACACTCCCCAGGACGAAACTGTTCATTTTCTTAGCAGTCTATGAAATACTCTTCTCCAACACCACACCTCAAAGGCCTCAGTTCTCCTTCTCTCCTCCCTAGTCATTGTCTAGCTCTCCGGTACATAGCAAGTGATTGCAAAGATTGTATCTGGTGCACCTTAGTCTCCAGAGTGACACCATTACTCTTCAGTACTTTGTCTCCAGAGTGACACCATTGCTCTTCAGTACTTTAGAGAAGTGCCTAACAGCAGACTTTCCCATTGCAATTTGTCTTTTAATTTTCTGGCTGCTGGTGCCAAGAGTTAGGATACAAAAATTTCTTCCCACCCTCCGAAGTATCCCTTTTAATCTAAATTGTGAGTTAAAACTCAGATACTTGCACCCCTGACATACTTTGGACATGTTGTAAGGAGAGACAGGTCTTTAGAGAGGGACATCATGCTGGGCAGAGTGGACGGACAGCGCAGGAGGGGAAGGCCCTCTATGAGGTGGATTGATCCAGTGACTGGGGTAATCTGGATGGGTGTGTCAGAGGCAATGAGATTGGCACAGGATAGAGCAGGGTTTAGGGCTGTTGTACATAGGGTCGCTATGAGTCGCAAACAACTCCACGACGCATAACAAGAACAAAAAAAGCTTTAAGATTTAACTATTTTGCTTTTGGAGAAAACAACGAAAACAACTTAGTGCCTGCAGAATTAATAGCTAAATCCTTACAATAGCTTTCCTTTTCTTTTAGTTTCCAGCTTATAAAAGGGAGGAATAAGAAATGTTCTGGTTAATGTCAGAGAGTAAAAAAAAAAAAAAAAAAGTTAGCACCTGAACCCAAGATACCATTTGCAGCAGGATACTTTGTTCCTAATAAAAGTGTTGTTGCTGGGTGCTGTTGAGTTGATTCTGATTCATAGTAATTCTGAGTCACAGAGTAGAACTGCCCTCTGAAGTTTTCTTAGCTGTAAACTTTATGAACGTATGTTACATGTCTTTTCCCCACAGATCTGCTGAATGGGTTCAGATCTCCAGCCTTTTTGGTTAGCAGCTGAGAACTTAACTTGTTGAACAAGAGTTAACGCAGGGGTCTTGAATACCACTAAGTTTCTCCTAATCAAAGTTGTTGCTGTTAGATGCCACCCAACTCATAGAAATTCTAGTATAACAGCATGAAACCTTGCCGCTTCCTGTGGCATTCCATCAGTCAACTATTTTCAGGCTTGCCATCCATACTGAGCACTTTAACCTCTGCACCACCAGGACTTTTCCAAAAGACTGTCTACCTATGTCTTTTTCTGTGTCTTTAAACTTGGTTTTGTTTTAAATATTGGCACGATATTATATATAGTGAGAGCATCAGTATTGTTTTACAAGTGAAGGGGGGGGAACTCAACTGCTTCAAGCAATTTAAATTGCCCTCCAAATAATATTTTGAACAATAGTTGAATGCATAGATCTTACATGTTCTGTCTTATTCATTTCCTAATAGACCCACTTGAGTACCAAAACAAAATTTTTCCTAGAAAAGTCTTCAAGGAAAATATTTTTTATTTTCATCTAACTCATAAACATTCAATTTTACTTTTCTGTAAAGCCTAAAAAGCAAGTAGCAAAGACTTCAAAGTTCAGTCACCTACATTTTGCTCAAGGCTTTCTCACAAGTGGAGAAAATTTTTTAGGATGGGGAAGTGCCCTCGGTAGGGAAGAAGAAAAGGCAATCTTCAATAAAATTAAGTTGTAGATGAGTGAAGGCAATTTATTTTATTTAGCCCATAAGTCATTTCCCTGATTATAAATCACTCGGTTTCAAGTTAAAGTTTCTTTAACTGTTAAGTGTATAGATTCCATTGTGTTACACAGCTTAATTTTTCTCTAAAACTTTTATTTTAGTGAATTTATTTTTTAGAAGAATGGGTGGGATAAAACTAAAAAAGGTAATTCGTGTATCATTATTAATGTTTCTCCACCCTCCCACCTCCAGAGAAGCAAAGCTAATAAAGTAAATAAGCCTATTTATTTTACCTTTTGTTACTAGCTCTGGACTTCCTGGTGTTCTCTGCTCCTTTTCCTAAAATATAACATCCTGGCAGTTTATAAGGCTGAGATGATATTTTAATGAGATTTTGACAAAGCAGATTCTATTTGAGGAAAAAAAAAAACCCACAAAACCAAAAATGTGCTTAAAAGGTAAACAAACGAAGGAAATGGCTGTCAGATTGCCCTTTATTAACGCATCACAAGATCGTGTCTGCACCTGTTTCACTTTTGTTTAATAGTCAAGAGCAGTATTACAGCACGTGAGCCCCGGTGGTTTTGTGATGGGAGGGGACATAAAACAGAGTGAGGAAAGCTTCAGAAACAATTTCCTCAACACAGAAAAGAACATAATTCTCTTACCTAAGAGCCAGGTTGTTTGCAAGAGCGGCTGAGAGGGACATGAATGAAGCCTGAGACTGCCACCTCGGCATGCTTGCTCCCGTACAGAAGATAAAATAATCCCTTGATGCACGAGGGTGGCAGTCCCTCGTCTTAGATCAGTTTGAGAAGCAGTTCTGACAGGGGAGCGTGTAGGTGTGTTCACTATCCTGAATGGAATAAAGCTTAAATTATGCTTAATGTCTGATAAGAACACCACTCTAGCCAAGCTCTCATTTAACGTCGGACTTTCTGTTTTGTTTTTAAAGAAAAATGTCTTACAAGGGCAGCAGCATGAAGCGGACAAAATCTGGAGCAAAGAAGGATTTTATGCCGTTGTCATTTTTCTCAGCATCTTTGTTATTATAGTAACATGTTTGATGGTAAGTTTGCTTCTTTATATATTTTCTCCTTTGTCAAGCCTACTGTTTTGTATGACTGTGTGCATTGTCATTCAAATGAAAAGGCTGAGAGTAGAAGCAAGACTATGCATTCTGTTAAGCTGGGAATATTCCATATCTGAAAGTAAAGTGCTAAAGGAAAACCTATGGAATTATGGATACAGAATTCCACAATGAGGCAGTAATTGCACTGGGGTGTCTGGTAACTTGATCAAGCCTAAGTGGGAAGCTTTAGAAAGTGGTTTACTGAGGTCATTGAAGCCTTCAAAGTCATTTAAGTCTCCTGGGTACTCTTGAGGTTTACTTTATTTATTCTTTTATATCATCCTTATGAAACTCAGGGAAGGGGTGGGAAGGAAATATGTCTTAAAAGTATGTGTACTCACCAGGGAACAAGTTGATGCCTTTTATTTCTGAAGGGTCTTGAAAGCATTCTGCAAATTTTCAAGCATAAAAATAACGTGGTTAGAGGCTCAAAGGCTAAACAATCTACTACCAACCAATTTTTTATGTGACTGAATAATAAAAAAAAATATAGAGACAGTAATGGCCTTGCAGCTTAAAAATCTGCAGTTTTTAACCACACATTTCCAGAACTAAAAGCAGACCTGACCTCTCTAAATTAGGAAGTGATAGTTGGTATTGAGGGAGTTAATTTTTTTTTTCCATTAGGGCAATAATGTTTTCAATTTCTTGATAATTTTGTGATGGAATATAATATTTGAAGATTATACATGAGTTTTAACATCTTCCCTTTTTCTCTGTAAGCCATGTTCTTCTTAATTTGCCACATTTAAAAGATTATTCCCTCTTTAGTTTTTAAGTGCCTCCCCAAAAAGGCGTAACGCTGCTTATTCTATCTGCAATCAACAGTGTTGCTAAGTGTCTGACTAGATCTTGATCATTTGCACTCCCTCTGCTGGGAGGGAGTTTCTGTAAGAGCTCTCCTCTGGAAAGGCAGAGATTGGATAGGTTTACACTTGAAGGATTAAAAACAGTCCCAGCCATGGGTAAGGTGAACAAGACCATGTTTCCGAGAGACCAAAATAGAAGAAGCATCAAAAATACCCTAAAAGTTTAAGAATGCCGGTGATATTTATTAATTCGGAGGTATCTTTATGGTCCAGGTATTAAGAAAAAAAATTTTTTTTAAATTATGGTACAAATAACCAAAAGAATAAAATAGAGTTGGAAAGTGTATTCTTATATTGTAAATGTTTGTTAACTTCGACAAAAGAGTTTTAGTGAGAGAATGCTGAGAAGGATGTTGAAGATTTTGTGACAATGACCTGTGGGCATTTTAGAATAGTTTAGAAGTTGTGGTTCCTTCATGTGCTTAATTTTACTTCAAAATATGTAGTTTTTCTTTTCCTTTGTATAGGGAATGTTGGATACTGTCCTCTTTATTGTCAGTCATAATAACTGTGCTTTCTTAAATCTCTTAAATAAAAAGAGATGAGAGGAGGGGAAGAATCAGAGAAGCTGCTGTTGTAGAGAATAATTATCATTGTTGTTATGTGCTTTCAAGTCAACCAGAACTCATAGCCAGCCTATGAACAACAGTTACGAACTTTGGCTTTCCATGCACCATGTTCACCAACTTTGATATACTCGAGCCCATTGCTATAGGTACGATGCCAACACATCATGGTGAGAGTCTTCCTCTCTTTCTCTGACCTTCTATCTTTCCCAGTATGATGTAATTTTCCAAACACTGACCCCTCCTAACAATCCCCCTAAAATATGTGAGAACAAGTGTCACCTTCCTTGGCTCTAAGGAGAACCCTGGTTTTACTTCCTCTAAGACAGACTTATTTGTTCTTTTGGTAATCTGTGGATTATCCAGTAGGCTTCTCAAATACTAAATCATAAGCATCATGAATTCTTCTGCCGTCCTTATTTATTGTCCAATTTTCAGATGCAGAGGAAGTCATTGTTAAATAGAATTACTTGGGTCAAGTGCATCATGGTCTTTAAACTGACATTCTTGCTCTTTAGCATTTGGAGAGGTCCTTGACAAAAGACGTCCCCAAAGCAATAGGTCTTTTGATTTCTTGACTGCTATTAATTCATTGACTACTTCAGTCTTTTTTCCATCTATCATGATGTTGCCTCTTGGCCCAGTGGTGAGGATTTTGGGGGTTTTTTGATGTTGAGAAGTAATCATATTGAAGGCTGTTGTATTGAATCGGATGTGGATGGGTTAAGATTCAGAACACCAAATACAAGGAAAGACGTGAAAAGTAGATCCATGAGCAGCTTTTGAGTAGTACTCGTTGCTGTTGCAATGAGCTGTTAAGTCCTAACAGAATCAAACAGTGCCCAGTCTGACACCACTCCTGTAATCATTGCTGTGCTTGAGCTCATTGTTCCTATCACCGTGTCAATCCATCTCCTCAAGGGGTCTTCTCTTACCCATCTCCTTGAGAGTGTTCTCTTATCCACAAACTATCTACTTTGCAAAGCATTATTTCCTTCTCTAGGACTATCCGCCTCTTATTACAGGCCAGGAGCACATAAGACAAATTCTCACTCTCCTTGCTTCTAAGGAGCATTCTGGCTGTACTTTTCTACCAAAACACTATAAAAGAGGGAAATAGAACATTCCACCTCTTACTCAAGGGGGCCCTGTGTATCTAAACAAAACTAAAAACTGAGCTAATTGCTGTTGAGTAGATTCTGACGCATAGAAACCCCATGAGTGGCATGGTGGAACTGTGTCCCATACGGTTTGCATTGATGTGAACTTTCAAAAGATAACTAGGGATTCTTTTCTTCAAAGATATGCCCAAATGGCTTCAAACAATCAACTTTTCCCATTAATAACTAACTATCCTTTTAAGCATTCATAGGCACCAGAACTCTTTGTGTTCTAATAAGTCAAATCCCTACATAGCACACTGGTCTCATGATGAAAACACAGTTAGTAGCCACACCCTCCACCAGTTGGCCAGAGAATAATGCTTCCTTTCTCAGTATTTGCAAAACATCAGTGTCAGAAACCTAGTCAAGTCAGCCCTAGTGTTACGTGGGGAGACCTAGTGGTAGCTTTGTGGATAAGGAGCTGTCCTGCCAACCTGAAGGCATATGGTTCAAATCTGCCAGCTGCTCTGTAGGAGAAGGGACAATTTCCTCCTTTAATTTAATACCTCTTAAAACTCACTGGGGGCTCAGCTATGAGACTGGTACAACTTGACAGCACATAACAACAATGGCAATGTTACTTAAGGGAGTTCTGGGGATAGAGCCAGTCAGGAGTTACACTACTAATCAAAATCCGAACCTTTCTGGTGGTTCTGATTTACCAGCAGCTCCACAGGAGAAAATGAGCACTCACTTCCTGTTGGATTTACAGCCTCAGAAACCAAATGGAAGGTCAACTATGAGTTGGTTCCAACTTGATGGGGGAAAAAAATCACTTGAGAAAATGAAAATAAGGGATTTGTAAAAGGTACAGATGAATATTTTCTTTTGAATTGCTAGGTAGATGCATCCATTCAGTCAAGAAGCATCCTCTGAGGGTACATTGTTAAAGGCCTGAGCCCTATGGGTCAAGGAGAGAACAAGATAGATAATACTCCTATTTTCCTAAAGTCTATACATCTGAGCACTGGACAATGAATAAGGATGGCAGAAGAAAAATTGATGTCTTGGAGTTTTGATGTTGGAGGAAAGTTCTAAAAATCTCATGGACTGCAAAAAGACCAAACAGTTATGTCTTAAAGAAGGCGAAGCCAGAGTTCTCCTTGTAGGCAAGGATGAAAATTTTATCTCTCATACTTTGAGCATGTTGCTAAGAGAGGTTACTCCTTGGAGAAGGACTAGGGGGAGGGATGGCAAAGAAGAGGAAGGCCCTCTACCAGGTGGATTGACACAGTGGCTGCAGCAATGGGCTTGAGTGTGTCAGAGATGGTGAGGATGTCACAGAATAAGACAGATCAGATATGTTGTTCATAGGGTTGCTATGATTCATACTCAACTTCATGGCACCTTAAACAGTATAGTCTAGAAGTACACAGAGGGAGAAAAAAATAGATTTTAACTAAATATGATAAATACCATGAAGAAGATCACGAAGTGGAGCCGGCTTTTGACAATTTCCAGCTCTGAGCTGAATGATAGCAAGGAACAGAGATGAAAAGTGAATGAAGGACCTAGACATAGGGCCTGATGCAGGAAATGGATCTGTAGTGATGTTAACTTCACCTTATTCCCTGAGTGTTGCAAATAGTCAGTGTTCTCTGCTGTTAAACAAGTTGCAGGTTAAATACACCCAAGTTACCTCAGAAGAAAAGGTCTAGCAATTGACTTCCAAAACATCATTCATTAAAAGTCTTTTACTGTTCTACTCTGGCATCTATGGGTTGCTATGAGTCCAAGTTTACTCAAAGGTAACTGGTTTTTATCTGTATTCAAAAAGGACAAAAGTTGAGTGCTTTGAGGTTTGGATGGTGCCTCACTATAATCTGATTTGTGCATTTAAAAGATCACATGTTCTGTTGCATGAAGAATAGAACAGTTGAAGGACTGATCCAAGGGAGCAGGAAGACCTTTGCAGAGGTAACTGCAGTAGTCAGGGAAGCAAAGTAACATGCCAGGTGGTGGCAAAGGGTTGTGGTGAGGGGTGGTGATGAGAGAGAAGTTAGTAACTGGAATTTATGTGAAGGTAAATCTGACAATACTTGTTTTGTACTGGAAGAGAGAGACATTTTTAAAAATAAAGATAATACACTTGGTTTATGTCAGAGACAGTGTTCCCAATTCCTGGGAGGAGAAGGATGTTTAAGGTGGTGGGACAGAGCGCTGTGTGAGAGAAGCAATACTTTTTAAAATTTCTATTCAAATAGTTGTCAAGTAAAGAGAGACCTAGAAGCATAGATTTCAAACACTATCTTACATTTTAGTGGAGACATTTAGCTCAGCTCATTGCCATTAAGGAGAACTCATAGCTGACCCTCTCTGTTGGGTTTTTAAGGATGAAA